CCCAGCGTCATAGCCAGGCTGCTCAGGGAACGGTCAGCACTCCCACCCCCACTGCCCACCTTCCTTCTCTCTCCAGCCACAGCGACCTGACCTCGCTCTTCTTCCTGTCCCACCCAGCTCCCTTCTCTGTCAAGACTCTGTAGCCATGTTTTCAATAGATCGTTAAGGAGCACTCTTTTCATTATTCTGGCGATGACCATGAATAAGAAAAATTAGGCCTCGGCTGTCTTGGAGTTCTCCTCCTTGTGGGGTAGATGAACAATAAACAAATAAATAATTGTGGTAATTTTAGATACAGGTAAGGGATAAAGAGGAAAAAACAAGATGTAATGGAGAATGGGGTGGGGGCTATGTTAGACTGAGAGTTGGGGGGATCTTTCTAAAGAGTGACATTTGAATCGAGAGCTCGGCTCTTTGAGGATCTGGGGTGGGAGTGTCCCAGGCAAAGGCAATGGTACCAAGGCCCATGGATGGGACTAAGCTGGGTGTTCATGGAAGACCAGGGCCAGGCTGGGTGGAGCAGGGAGTGGCCAGTGTGGGCGATGAGGCGGGGCCAAGCCAAGGACAGCCTCCCAGGCCACAGTCAGGGATTGAGGTTTTGGTTTGTGTGACCGGAGCCACTGGAGGAGTTTTTAGTAGGAGCGTGAGGCAGTTAGACGATGCTACGCAGGAGAGTGATGGGCTCGGATTGATTGGCTTTCAAACCTAGGGTTGGGGTCCAGTTAATCACACTCAGCTCACAGCCCGCTGTCGCCATGTCTGCAGACTGCATGCACCCCACGTGGTACAGTTCCAGAGGCGCGTCCACCCTGGGTCTCTAATTTTTATTGATCTAACGGGTAACAGTGCCAGCTCGCTATTGCAGAGTGCTTTTTACCCGGTTACTAGTTTGAGAGTTTCTTTATATGCTTGCTAGCCTTTTACTAAAAAACAAGCAAGCCAACACCCTGGCTGCTCATTGGAGGGTTGATAGTCGGGGGATGGAGCCAGGATGGAGGAGGGCACGGACTGATGGCTACCCCATGGCCCAGGCAAGAAGGGCTGGCGCTGCTGCGTGAAGGGAGGTGGATTGGACTAGGGTTAGGGCAGCGCCAACAGGAGGTTGGCTTTCAAAGAGGGAGCAACGATGACATTGAGGTTTGTAAACGAACAACCGGGTGAATGGTATTACCTTTTACTGACATGAGCAATATTGTCAGGGGAGAGAAGGTTTGGGTGGTTTGTTTTAACTGCTGCGGGGGATGGAAATCAAAGACTAACACCCTCTCCCTCTGACCTTCCTTTCACACTGGATCGTGCTGACTGCACTTTCCTTCCTGGAACCGTAGGCTTCTCGGCTTCCACGGCACCTACTCCCTGGTTGTCAATGTCCTTCTGTGGCCATTTCCCCACCCTCCCTGCCTTCGGAATGTCGGCGGCCACATTCTTTAGTGTCTTTAGTCCTCGTCCCCCTCGTGTGACTCTCTCTGAAAGGTACCATCACTTCCGGTGGCTCCAGCCACAGGAGACTCTGATGCTTCCCAACCTCTGGCTCCAGCCTACACCCTTTCAGGGCCATATCTCTGGTGCCTCCACAGGACCCATCAGCAGGATGTCCAACTGCCGTCTTCAAGTGCAAAGTGCTCCTAAATGAACCCCTTGCCTTCTCCCCAAGCCTGCTGCTTCCCTCTGTTGTTAAAAGTCACTATTATTTACTGAGTCATCTGAGATGCAGAATGGGGAATTTCATACTTCATTGATTCTAAGACACACATTCCCTCCCCACATCTTAATGTCTTACAATCAGGCAGCTCACAGTTATTGACCAGGGAGCAATTATGACCTAGGTTTTACTATCTGCACATTTGCAAACTTGGTCATTGCTGCTCATGGTATAAACCTTTGAATTAAAACCTGCACTGTAGGAACTGCACTAAGAGGCTCTCTTTACTTGTTAGCCTTTCCTATTTATTTTAAGAAGACATCGTGGATGCTCTGTGGGGCATTGTTGAGTTTAATTGCTGTTTAAAATGTCTTAGAAATATTATACTATTACTTGGCATCAAAATGAAAAGTTACTGCATATAAGGCATGGAAATAGAGTGATGGGATATAAATTAGATATTAATGCAAACATTCATCACTGAAGGAATGACCAAAATTCCGCATTTTCTTGCAAAGCCGCCAGCAAGTACTGCACACTCCCCTTAAGTACTGCTCCCTTCCGTTGCTGAGATCCCCTGCGAAAGGGCTGTCTTCGCACGTGCGGCAGCATCATCGAAGGCAGCGAACGTGGCCAGTGTTTTCTTTTTCTGTTTTTCCTTAGTGGAAAATAAGTTAATGGTGCATTTTACAATCAATAAAGTCTTCAGTTGAGCAAAATATGGCCATTTTCAATGTTTCATGCTCTACCTCCAGTCAACTACCAAGTCCTGCAGTTTCAACTTCCTTAGCAGCTCTTGAATCTGATCACGCCTTCCTACCCCCACTCTACCGCCTCGCTCCAGGCCTTTATCTTCTCTTGTCTGGACTGTTACAGTGGCCCCCAAATCGGTCTCCAACCCTAGCCTTGTCCTCAAAGATCCATCCTCCACACTGCTCACAGTGCAAATTGGATCCCCCCTTAGCTTCCCAGAGAATGTGGGCTAAAGTCCAACTCCCCCCCCTCTCCCTAAACTGGTCCTATCCCTTCTCCAGCCTCCTCTGTTCCAGAGTTCAGCCCTTCCTGCCTTTCTCCAGGTACATGCCTGCTGATGTGTCAGGCTGTCTTATGGATCCGAGAATGCCCCCCTCCTCCCATTTACTCCCCAATCCTGTCCCACTTGTGAACTCCTACTTATCTTTTGAATCCCAACCCGAGGATCACCTCTTCTATGAAGCCCTCCTTGATTTCCTGCCCCACATACCACTCACTATTCACCAGAAAGAGTTGACCACTTCCTCCTATTCTGCCCCACTGCGCCTTTCCTCAGATTTCTAAATACCTGTACTAGAAAAAGTTTGGTATAGCCATCCAATGGAATATTATAGAGTCATTAAAAAGGGTGACATGAGAAGATGATTAATGGTAAAGTAAAAAAAAAGTTGTATACAAGTTGTATATACATTCTGATATCAACTAAATGTATATAAATTGGGAAAAGATGATGAGAAAACATGTCAAATTTGTAATAGTGGTTTTCTCTTTAATGGGAATGGTGTTTATTTTTGTATGAATCTAGTCTTTAAATAAGTAGGAATCATTGTCATAATTAGTAAAAGTATTGAAACCTCTCTTACTATAATTAGAAAGCTGTGTGAAGTTGTACAGAAACTTTTCAATGTGTTTCTGTGGCTGTTTCTTCATCTTGCTCTTCGTCCTGTGGCAGGTTTTATGGCCGGAAGATGGTGAGTATCTTGATGTCGAACGCCAAGTTTGATGCATTTCTGAAGCAGTGCCTGCCATCCCACGACTTGCGGAAGGTCATGGCGGCCATTAAACAGCGGGTGAGTTGGTGGGTGTGATGTGTGTTGGGTGGGGGACCAGAGCTGAGACTGGCAGCCCTCACGCAGGTCAGGGGGTAGGGGGCTGCACTTGGAGGCTTTTATTTCACCCAGGACTCCTGCTGGGCGAGGTCAGCATGATTTCCTTGTCCTCTACTTGGCCTGGTTCTGCCCCTCTCTGCCTGTGTCCCTTGAGCCTCCCTGGGCCTCCACATCTCCATCCGTGAAATGGGGATCTTGACCCCCAATACTTGGCCCTGACTACCAGCACTCTGGGAGGCTCAGCTGTGCCCTGGGAGGCCTCCAGGGGGAGAGGTTAAGGTCTAGGCTGGACTATCTGGCACTTCCCCAGAGGCTGCTCCTTCTGGTTCACGCTCTATGTGTATTTTTCAAGGGACTAGAAGAGAGTGATGAACTGCCGTCTGCCAAAGGCCACAAGGTGTCGAGGAGTCTGGCCGTGTGTGAGAACGGGCTGCCCGGTGAGGACGGGTATGGCCACTCTTGTCTCCCTGGGGCTCCACCTCCAAGATGCTGATGGGGCAGCCAGGGTGGCTCTGGCTGGGAGTTAGAAACCAAGCAGGAATCTGAAGGTCACTCCTGTGCCTAACACAAACTCCTGGGAGGACCCATCTGATCTCCTTAGCAGGGACCCAGGGAAGCCCACCCCTGCTCCAAGAGTAGCTTCCTGTTCTCTCCCACGTGTCCTCTGGGCCAGACCTGAGCAGCCGGGCTCCCGGCCCCTTCTCTTCTCTCTCCCTGCTGTGCCTTTGCTTCTGCTGGTTCTTTGCCTTGTGTGGGCCGTCTGCACCTAGAACAAGCCTGTTTATTCTACCAAATCCCACGAGATCCAGCTCGCCTGCCACCCTCTTCCAAGAGCTCTATCTGACACTCTGTGTCCCCACGACCTCTGGGGGACAGATCATCCCCATCCTGCAGTCCTCTGTCAGCCATGGACTTAGCCGTCCTGTCTCCCACGGGTCTCTGAGCCCTTAGGGCAAGACCATCTCTCATCTCCTTGTTCTCAGCGCCCTGCACAGGTCTTGGTGCTCAGTAGACAGAGAGTGGAATGTAGGAATGAATGACAGAATGGTGTCGGGCTCTGCCGGTGGAACTTGGGTGCAAGGCATGAGCTCAGAAGAGCGAGGCTTTGAGCTGGGATGAGGCTAGAGTTCTGTATGGAGTTGCTCTCATTCTGGCTGGAATGGGCCAGGGGGCACAGGGGGCACAGGGGGCACAGGGGGCACAGGGGGCACAGGGGGCATGTGATCTCAGCCTAAGAGAACAAGACTTTTTAACATCTTCCAGTTTCTGGAGGACTGTGAGCAGGGCCTAGACAACCAGGGGGCAGGATTCAGGCACCTGGCAAGATCTTCCCCGACCCTTAGGTGAACCGTGCCCCAGTTATCCTTTCGTGATTCCGCCCCCTCACTCCAAGCTTTCTCCTCCGTCCCTCACCTGCCTGCTGAAAGGAAAAGGCAGGAAGAGAGAGCCCGCCCCCTGGGGCTCTAGGCAACCATATTGTTGTCCCCGGAGGAAGGGCCTGGGATAAGGTGTGTCCCTGCCCCGGCTGCCCCGGTCAGCTGCTCCTTGTGCTTAGGCTCAGCTCCAATGGCCCGAGGCTGGCGGGGCTGCGCTCTTCCCGGCGCGGTGGCTCGGAGATGGCGGAGCAGCTGCGGGAGCTGACACGGCTGCTGGAGGCCAAGGACCACCAGTCTCGGATGGAAGGTGTGGGGCGGCTCCTTGAGCACTGCAAGTCCAAGCCGGAGCTCATCACCGCCAACCTGGTCCAGGTGAGCCTGCCTCCCCACACCTTCCCCCCGTCTCTCCCCATGGGTGCAACTTCAATCTGGAAAACTCTGAACAGGGTTAGACATTGGCCAGACCCCTCAGGGCAAAGGGAGCCCAACAAGCATTTGCTAGCCAGTTGCCTTGGTAACGCTCTAAGACTACTTGGAAGTGGCCGAAGGGATGAGGGCGCTGCCTCTTACCAGGCACCGTGGGACCGCTCAGAGGTGTCCCGGGCATCTCTCAGCCCTCTTGTGGGGAGGAGGGCAGGAGTGAAGGGTGCCGTGGCCAAGGGCGCTGCTGGTCCAGCTATGTGCATGACGTTTCGGGGCAGAGCATGCAGTTGGCCAGGAGACGGGGCCAGGATGGGTGAGGAGCAGGCACAGGCTGGAAACCAGAAAAGATGCCTGCTTCTTCCAGGAGGAAGGCTGCTGACAGCCAAGCCACATGGCGAGTGGCTGAGACACAGGCATGGAGGCAGCAGGCCGGGGCTTCCTTTCTTCCTGGCTGTGTGAGCTGGGCCAGTGATTTCACCTCTTTCAGCCTCAGTTTTTGTTTTTAATGGCCAAGTGAGGATGAGAACACAGGCCTGCCGGGTTGTTAAGATCATTCCAGGAAAGAGAGTGAGGGTACCTGACAAGATGCTCTCAAACTGGGCACACGAGTGCTCAATGTGGGGTCGTTCTGCCCTCCGGCACGCCCCACCCCTTTGAGGCGGCGCACTCTTGGCCACTGAGAGTGTTCTGGCCCAGGTTGGATGATGCCTGTCAGGGCCGCAGGGGCCGCCCGGCCGAGGTGGGTGGCTGGGCTGTGGGACTCCTGCCCGCCTGGTTCCCACGGGCTCTTGGTTTCTGTTCTCTCAATAGGTCTTCGATGCTTTCACCCCAAGGCTTCAGGATTCCAACAAGAAAGTGAACCAGTGGGCGCTGGAGTCCCTCACCGAGATGATTCCCCTCCTCGGAGAGAGCTTGCACCCCATGCTGCTCTCCATCATCGTCGCCGTTGCAGACAACCTCAACTCCAAGAACTCGGGGATTTATGCTGCCGCTGTGTCTGCACTGGACGCGATGATCGAGAGTCTGGGTGAGCCTCCTGCCGTGGTCCCGCTTGGCTCTGGTGGGCAGCTGGCTCCCTCCCTAGTGCCACCCTGGGTTGGGCCCACCCTTCCTGCTTGGCCATCGGCAGAGTGGTGAAAGGCACGGGTTCAGCGTTTTCCCAGAGGCTGTGTAGGGCACGGGTCGGTGGCCTAGGGCCTGCGAGGTTCTTGGTTGGCAGCTTTTCCACGTCCCATCCACCTGCGTGTCTTAGATGGTGAAACTGGGGGAGACGTGGAGATGATGTCGTCTTGCCTCCGTTAGCACACGCGACGTAAATGACTCACCCAACGTCACATGGCGCCCCAGAGTGAGCCAGCCAGGTATTGAAGGAAAAACAGGTCAGGATTGCCAGGAAGGAGTTGGGAAGAGCTGTCAAGAATTGTCTTAGTTGTAGACATGGCAGCAGTGAATGTGGCTCGTATGGGGACCAGGCGGATGCTGGTGAGACCGCAGGGCGAGCGTGTTGGAGAGGACCAAGCTGACGGGCAGGCGGGCCTGGAGGGCTGGCCAGCTTGGTTGTCTGGTGCAGGAGGCAGGCCGGGGTCCCACTGGCTTTTTGAGTGTGAAATAGCTGAGAGCTGCCTTTTAACCACACTGTCTGGGGCCAGAGCTTCGGGTGTGAGGGGTTTGGTGTGAGGGGTAGGGAGTGACATTGGAATAGGGTTGGGGGAGGAATGAAAAGAAAAAGCGGAAGGAGCTATGGGAGAGATGTCAGGAAAGGCAGGGGCTTCCCAGTTCCCTGCAGGCTTTGCAGTATCATATCTTGGCCCTTGAACATCAGGTGGCATTTTGGTGCATAGACTTGGGTTCTCAGTCCTTTATAGAGTACTTGAGGGCGCTATTTAGTGTATCTAGTACACAGGCTGACGTGCAAGGTCAAACCTCCCAGGGTATGCGAGAATGTAGGTCACGCTTAGACTTATGTCCCAGCCAGGAGTGGAGCCGTGAGTTTTCACAAGCCAGTCTTGCCTTGATGCAAGAAAGAGTAGGATCTGGGAACTGTTGCTATTTGCCTGTTGCTTGGTGTACGTTCTGATGAGTGCAGAGCAATGTACTCTCTTTAGCACTCACAAAGCATCCCCACAGTGAGGCTGGGACCTGGCCTGGCCCACACACTCCCCCCACCTCATCCTCGCATTCCTAGCCTGGGCCCAGCACCGTGTCCTTGGCTGGAGCCTCCAGGAGAAGTTTCAGTTACAAATCAAATGCCCGTCCAGGCCCTCCTCCGCCTTTCAAGTTCATAAATATTGTCAATTTCCTCCCTTCATCTCAGAGGGAATTTATGATTTGCTGGGTTTGTCGCTGTAGAACAAATAATATAAATCCAGCTCTAAATTATGGCTTGTTCTCAGGGCTGCTGTGGGTAAGTGAGATTGCTGTTGCCAATAACCGAGGCTCCTGGTAAATCATCGCAGGCCCTGGATTTATTGGGAAAACCCACACCAAGCACAATAGGCTTTAGCTATTTGAAGAGGAAAGCACCCTTGTCTGAGGAGAGATTTAACTCTTCCTTTCCGGTTTTGCCACCGGGCCAGCTTCGGGCTGCTGAAGCTAGAGTCTCGCATTATCATAAGACGCAGGTCCCCTCTCCTTGGGGCCCCACCATATGCACCTGGGCTGGGCACCCTGGAAAGCGCCCTGGGGAGGGTCTGCTTTTGTGAGCTGGCCACACCTGGAGGCAGGTTGCAGGTTTCCAGGAGGATGCCTAGGATTCTCATTTCCTCCTGGGACAGGGTGTCCTCGAGTGTGGCTGACGGTGTCCCCTCTGGCCCATCAGCTCAGGCACTGGGTGCAGGGGGCCTGGAAGCAGGTGGGAGGGGAACTTCCTCTCTGCTCCTTGGGTCAGGGCGAGGCTGGACTGCAATGGGGTTGGCCTTGGAGGGATGGAGGAGTCCAGTGAATCCCTGGCAAAGGCTCCCATGGGGCCCACAGCGTGAAGCTCTGGGTCTTGGCTCCGAGTCATTTGAACAGGCGTGGCAGTGGGCGCTCAGGGCCGCGTGGCTTTGCTGTGAGCCGTACCCTCTCCGCCCCACCAGCAGCATTGGTTTTGGAAGAACTATTCACTAGGAAGTGATGAGCCGAGTCCCATATCCACCTAGGTCAGTGGTCGGCAAACTCATTAGTCAACAGAGCCAAATATCAACAGTGCTTCTTCAAAATAGACTCACCCAGGCCGAAAACCGACTTCTGCACATGGGCCACGAAGTTTCAATCGTACTATACGTGCGCCCACACGTGGTATTTTGTGGAAGAGTCGCACTCAAGGGGCCAAAGAGCCGCGTGTGGCTCGCGAGCCGCAGTTTGCCGACCACAGACCTAGGTCAGACCTGAGGGATTTAGGTTGCCAACAAGAAGAATTCATCTCTGCCGGGGTGTGCCCATGGTAGACACACTCTTTCCAGGAGGGGTTCACATGTCTGGAATGGTCACGCCTGGTCTGCAGAGGGTGAAATGGAGGCGATAACTAAACTTCCCCCTGACCCAGGGCTTTGGGTGGTAGAAGCAGGGATGGGGCAGGTGGCACAGAAGAGAGGGGTGCACATCTTCCTTCCCACGTCACCCAGGCTGAGCCTGGTGGCCCTGGTGGTTCCGGGTGGGGGGGGGGGCCCTCGGCACCCTGTGGCCCCTCCTGGGAGTGGCTCAGAGCCCTTTGAGCAGAGGGAGCTCTCGCCCAAGCCTGGTCCTTCTGCCCCACAAGGGATTCTGGGCCCCAAGCTGCAGAGCATCCATGCAATGCTGTGAAGTACTTAAATGTGAAAAGTCACAAAGCAACAGCTCAACAGGCTGTATTCACTTCTTGCTCTACCGGGGCCAAGGGGGTCAGGAGCACAGCCACGTTGGGGGGCTGGCCTCTCGGGCTGCGTCTTAAGACCCCTCTTCATTCTGGAAGTCAGTGATCAAGGTGACTCACCAGCCACCACGTCTCTTCTAGCTTTTAGGGTTTCTTTAGGGACAGGAGGTGTGTTGGTTACAGAGCAGGTGGGATTTCTGTCCCTTCCCGCCTTTGAGGAGATGGCGAGGAAGGAGACACATTGCTCCCTGACCTCTGCCCTTCGGCCCTGCCTGCCTGGGGGCTTCTCCAGGGCGAGGCCGGAGTGGCACCTGATTTTAGGGGCATTAGTCTGAGTACTGAGGCAGTTCCTGAGCCAGTGGCTGGTTCTTTGGGCTCGGTCCTGGGTGACTCACAGCAGGAGCGTCACTCACTGAAGCACCAGACGGCTGACAGCTCACCTGCTCCCGGGTCAGACCCGCACATTCAGGCTTCTGAGCGCCCAGCGTTCTGTCAATTCACCGCAGCCCCTGGCCAGAGAGAGATAAGCTCGGAAATGGGTGGCTTCAGATCCACTTGGGCTAT